TGGCAAACATTAACTGCAAACTGACCTGTTTTTTTATGCAGGACCGATCCTGCCATAATTAAAAATACATACAGAAATAAATGAAGGACTTCATATAATTTGTGTGCCATTAAATGTGACAAAATCATAAAAAGAAGATATTTCTTCAACAACTGATCAATTATTCATCAAAAAATATATATTTTAACTTTTTTGATAAATAATTGATCAATTGTTGAAGAAATATCTTCTTTTTATTGTTTTGTCACATTTAATAGCACACAAATTCGTATTATTAGCTACTTTTTCAATTAATTTTATATTATTCAGTCCTTCATTTATTTCTGTATGTATTTTTAATCATGGCAGGATCGGTCCTCCATAAAAAAACAGGTCAGTTTGCAGTTAATGTTTGCCATTAATGTTATTCCATCTATTGTTTCTCGTATTTACTGGTAGAAGATCATAACTGTGATAATGAATATTCCAAGAAAAAAATTCTGTTTTATTTTCTGTTCTTGGTGAATGGCTTACCTGCCTTTAGTTTCCATTTCAGCTTCTGTTTTAAAAAGTGCCTCCAGGCTGCAGGTTGGAACAGGTTTTCTGCCGGCAGCTCATCCTGTTCTAGCAGGTAATTTGATGTGTTGATCAAAAGATTGTATCTGAATCTGGTTTAGGGAACTTCCTATGCTGCTAAACATGTCTGAACTTGTTCATTAAATGCAATATTTCTTTTAACTCTGTGATTCTTCTCCTTTAGACTTAGACCGATTTATTTTGTCATTTTGTAGACACAAGTGTAAATAAAAAGAAATGTCGTTTAAAACAGCTCTAGACAATTTCATTTTTAAAGTGCAACATACAACATATAACAGAATGAAAAACTGTGTGAAGCTGTTTTTTTTGTGTTTGTTTTTATTTAACTCAAGTCTTGTTGTTCAGTTTCTTTACCAAAGCAGTGAAGCCAGTTAAGCCTCAATCCACAATACTTAATTCTTATGTTCTTCTGTTTCTCTGACCCAGAAAAATTGGACTAAATCTAAAATATGCAAAGGAATCACAAGATTTTATCTAAAACAATCAAACTACAGTCATTTGCAATGATTTAGTTTCTAAATGTTCGATGATCTGGATATCTGAATATTTTCTCTTTTAGACTGAATAGATCTTTTTAAGAAGGATGCTTTGCAGTTTTAATTAATGTTTTTTTTTTTTCTGTCCAGAGCAACAATCAGAGCATTGATGCATGGTGATTTGGAAATGCACATTATGAATTATAATAGAATCAAATAAAATTATATTTCTATATTTTTGCAGCTTAAAGCCTTTAAAGACTAAAGTTTCAGTTAAAACCTTGCTTTCCTATTGTTCCTGCATGTTTTAATCAGTCTGATCTCTGGGTTTCTGCATAGCAACATAAAAAATCTTGGCATAATTTCCTTTGATAAACACCTTCCTAAAGTATACCTGTTTTGGGTTTTTATTTCACCCACTGTGGATAGATAGTGGGGATATATTATTCTTACAGAACATAGTGAAACTCTTAGTGTTTTAAAATTATTTACTTCTAATTTGTAGGACTATCTGGGAATTAATGTAATGATAAATATGAAAATAAATCATATTTAGCTCTGACTTTAAAAAATAAAAGTTTTCATAAATTGTCTGCATATGATACATCTGTAGGAAATAAGCAGCACATTTAAACAAACCTGTTGTTTTGACTCAGTTTTTCAAAACAGAAATTACATGAAATTAGACAGAGATCTCCAAAACTTTTGTCATTTTTCATGACAGAGTTGAGTTTCTTGTTCACTTTGTGATATTTCCATTGTCTTTGTATAGGTTTCAATTTACAAAGTACATGAAGGCAAGTGATTTAGTACATGTAGCTTACAATTTGTATAGTAAGCCTGCTTTTAGCAAATCTCAATAAAAAATATTCTGTATAAACTGTTTGGTTCTCTCTGGGTCTAATGGTTTTCCTCTCAAAAACTCATCAGCATATTTTCATTTTTTAAGTCAAAATATGCAAAATACTCAATTTCAATTCTTAAAAATAAATAAAAAACATGATATCAATCAAACTCCTATGGGTTTCAATTAATTGATAAAATGACAGTCTGGTGACGCTAAAACTTAACTGAAAAGTAGAGTTTTCTGGATCTCAGAGAACCAATCAGATGGTATATGTATTTATTGTCATGATTTATTTAAAGATCTGACCCACATGCGGAAGACCAAACAGAGAGACCAGGGAAAAGTTTAACAGGTTTTATTGAGAGAGAATGAGATGAGTCCAGTGCTGCTCCGAACACTGTCAAACCGGAACTGGAAAGTGAAGAGGAAGATACTGCGGTTAGTTCAGGCTCAGTGGGAAATTAGTGTCTTAGACTTGAGGAAGAGGAAATAGGTTGCAGACTCACGTTTCCAGAAAAAGGTGTCTCTTATCGAATCCAGTCGGTGTGGGTTGTTCCAGTGAATGTGTTGTTCGTTGGAGGGCGGACAGGGTTTACCCAGAATGCTGTTGTTCCTTGGTGAACGGAGAAGCTGACTGCCACTTAGTTTTCCTGCTGTACTTGAACGGGTTATTGTGGTGCTCAGAGAGACGCCCAAAAACAATCCTTGGGGGGAAAAGTTGATCCAAACCACAAACTTGAATACTCAGCTCAGTTTGGCGCTCAGAGAATACTTCCAGGGGGGAGAAGGTCCAAAACATCCAGTTTGCGGGATGACTTCCTGCCGAGAGGCAAAGACAAAAACAGCAAGGTTAAAACTCAGGTAGAAAAAAACTCAGTTTGACTCAGCAAAACTCAGCTTGGCTAGAGTACCAAAAACTGGCAAACACTCTGGCCTCGAGGTAGTGGCAGTCAGCAGCTTAAGAGTCCTCTGTTAATGAGGTAACCATCTGCAGGTGTGTGAGGAGGCCAACCAGAACCAGGCGCCGCCTGCTGGTGGAGGGAAGACAAACAAAAACACAACCAACACAAACTGGAATCCTAACATTTACCTTACCGATAATTGTGAGCCTACCCTTTTTCAGCAGCTGCCATTACTGGGAATTATAGCTAGAAACATAGGGAACTGGAACAAGGAGGATGCTGAGTGATAAAAGAAGCATTTGGAGGCTAATATCTAGTCCTTGTGTTCTGTGGGTTTTTTGCAGACAGTGAATCACTGGAGCTGTTCTTTACTGTTGTGACGATATGAAAGGGCTTGTGGAAGTTTATTGTTCTGTGTACAGGTGCTTTTATAGATCTTTAGAAGCCTAAGGACCTCTGAGGCCTGATGAATGGGGTATTTGGGTCATTTTAAAGGAAAATCTTTTCCTGTATAATCAAAAGCAAACTCTTGTCAGCATTCTTGGCTCCAGATCATACATGTCTCCTGTGCATTGATCAGAGTCTGGGGTGATAACTAAAGACAGCAGTTTGATAATAAAATAGATTCTATTAAGTTCTTCAGTCACCATCTCTGACACATCATACTGGCAGCTATTTATTTTCTCTACAGGATTAAGAGCCTTAAGCAGAGGAAACAGACCTGGATCTGCTGGACTGATTATTTCTCTGACCATCCTGCTCTTTATTAGATACTGATTTTGTGATATTTTATAGTTTGGGTGAAGCAGTTCATTCTACACTGAGATGTTGATGCTTTTGAGCCTCGCTTTTTTTGTCTCTGCCGTTATGTCCTTGGGCAACACATCTTATCCAACTTACCTACTGTTGATGGTCAGAGGGCCCAGGAGCACCCGTTTATTGCAGCCTCTCTTCTATCATCGAGCTTCAGGACATCTGTGACTACAGTGTAGCTCACCAATATAGGTGTGATAGCTAATGAGTGAATGTATTGTAAAGCCCTTTGGAATCCTGTGACTCTAACGAGGTTTGTAGTCGCACTATTACCCATGTTTTTAGCTTTTACTACTCAGGTTTTATACATCCTGAAATGTCCACGATGAACTGTGAAACATAATTGAAATATTTGACGTCAAAACGGCGATAAACACGAGTAACAATTTGAATATTGTATCAAGCTGAAGCCTCTGAAGCTGGGGAGTTAATGGACACAAAAAAATAACACTATTGTGATGAATACTTGGCATATATTGGTT